CCAAAGTGCTAGGATTACAGGTGTGAGCCACCACACCCAGCCTGAAACCAAATTCTTGATCCACCTTACAAACTCCTCCCTCAGTGTTCCCCATTTCAGTAAATGGCATCTTCATTTTCACTCAGTTGCTCAGACCAGAAACCTAATTGTCATAACTGACTTGTCTCTTTATCTCACACTCATATCCAGTAGCAGTTCCTGTCAGCTTTATCTTTAGAACACAAACTGAATTTGACTATTTCTCATCATCTCTGCTTCTGTCACTCTAGTCGAGTCCAAGTCACCATCTTCTCTTGCCTGGGCATCTGCAGTAGCCTCTTAATTGGTCTCCTTTTTCCCTATCACTTCACAATTTCTTTACACAGCAGCCAGAGTGATCCTTTTAAAACCTAAAACTGATTTTAGTATTCCGCTGTTCGAAACTTTATGGTGGTTTCCCATCTTGCTCGGCATGAAACCCAGAGTTCTAACCACAGCTTCAAGGCCCTACACCTTTGGTCATCTCTCAGATCACATTTCCCACCACTCTGTCTTTGCTCATGCCTTTCCAGACACACTGGTTTCCTTCTTCTTCAAACAACCCTCCTTGTTGCTCAGGGCCTTTGTATTGGCTATCCTTCTCACCTGGAACTTGCTTCCATGTGGTTTGCTTTTTCACTTCATTCTGGCCTCTGTTCACATATTACCCACTAGAGAGGCCTTTTCTGACCCCAACTAAAATAGCAGTTCTCTGGTCCCCAAGCATATAACACCTCCTTACCTGCTTAATTTTACTTCCTAACACGTAATAGTACCTGGCTTTATATTCTATTAATTGGCTTTGTTTAGTTTCTGTCTTAAATTCAGCTCTTTAGGCCAGGCGCCTCATGCCTGTAATCTCAGCACTTTGGGAGGCCAAGGTGAGAGGATCACTTGAGGCCAGGAGTTCAAGACCAGCCTGGGCAGCATATCAAGACCCCATCTCTTTTTAAACATAAATTAGTTTAACTTAATTAAGTTCAAATTTTATAACTTGTCTCACTTAAGGATTCAAGAGTGACTGAATCTACACAGAGGAGAATTATATAGATTTCCTTGTAACATTAACTTAAGCATAAACATCATCAACACACTATTAAGGGTATACATACTTTGGAGTTCTGATTTAGGCTTCTACTACTCCTTCCTGAGGTGATAAAAACACTTACACATGCATGGCCAGAAGACCCTGTTTGGGTCTAGTTTGTATTTTTTTCTTCAGTATCATGTTCATTCTTTTCTAGGCTTGGTCACGTGCTGTGTCCCATACTAGAATCATGCTAGGGGTATTGCCATCTTAGTCTGTTGTCGTCGATCTCTTTTTGAACTCACAGAAAGTTCTAACAGCAGTCTATCAGTTGATTTCTGAGGAGGTTTGCCTGCTCTCCTGTATACTCTTCTTGTTATTTTGTGTCATGCTGTGGTTTCCTCACTATTCATTTGTACACTTGCCTTCCTTCTTTCTCTTGCTGTCACATGCACACTTATCTGTCCTAGTTCATCACTCTTTGAGCTAGACTATGGTAAAGGTCTTTAAACTTCTTTGGACAGAAAGAATAACTTCCAAAGTAGGATCCTGATGCTCTCATTGGGCAGAGTAGGGATTCCTCCCACCTGTATGTCATCATCAAACACAGGTGTACCAGCTCAGTTTTATCGCACATATTTTTTTCATACCTATTATCATGTTGGCTAAAACTGTGTCATTTTATGAATGAGAAAGTATAGGAGAGAATTTTTTAAAACTTTTGGTCTTCCATGACTAAAGAGACTTGCGTTTTTTCCTAGCCCCTATTTTGAGAGCCCATCAGATGTAGTTGTAGTCATACTGGGGAGCACAGTATTTGAGCTCCCCAAGATGAAATTCTTTCCTGACACCAGGCCAACTAGTTCTCAGTAAGAAACAGATGCAGAGGACAACATCCTACAAAGAACTGACTTGTCTCTTTATGATACTCATTGTTATCACAAAGCATATGATATAAGGGAGCCCTGGTCAAGCAGGATATCCCCTGGGGAGAAGATATCTTTGCCCTACCTAGCCTAGAAGTCAGCCAAGTGGTTTCCTTTCCCCTTCTCCTTTCTCACCTCCCACCGCCACAGATAGGAAAGCAGGTCCAGAGAAGACATGCCCAGAAAGAGCATTGAAGTCCCTAGGAATAAGGTTTAATTAAAATCATTAAATCTGACCCATCCACGCAGTACTCCTTGGCTTAAGGATGGAAGGAATAAAACAAAGAAAAGAGGACTGGGGAGGGTGGACAAAGAAAGGGCCATGACTATTTCCTAACAACCAGGATACAATGGCTCTGTAGGTAAAGTCAGAGGTTTCAAGAAACATTTTGGCAAGAAGTATAAAATATATTTTTTCTTAAAGAACTCTAGACTGTCACTTGAAGGAAGACAGTATTGCATAGTAAGGCAGAAAAATGTATCTGTGTTTCTTGAACATCCATGCTTCCTTAGTAATTCTTAGCACTGTACTCTAACCTTACAAGCAAATAATTCCTGAAGAACATTGGATGGAAATCAGCCAGGAGTGAGAATATGACAAATAATTCAAGCATCCAAAATAATTTCAAAATTTTTAATGTGTTCTTATATTATCATGTTATCGAGTTTTATGTAAACTGAATTGTTCATCTTCAATTAATCCTCATATTTGGGATTTTTTTTGTTTGTTTGTTTGTCTGTTTTTCTTTTCAGCCCCACTGTGTTCTCCTCGCCTCAAAAGAAAACTCGGCACCTGTTAAACTTGGGGGCTTTGGGGTAGCTATTCAATTAGGGGAGTCTGGACTTGTAGCTGGAGGTAAGACTGCTTTAAAAAAAATTTCATCAAAACCTGGTCCCTTCAGACTGGTGTAAAACTTTCAAGCTACATATTAGCCCAAACTCAGTGTTTCATACCTCATTCCACCCCACCCCAACCCCAAAAAAGCATCATCAGATAGTTTTGAATTTAATAACTCTATAGTCATAACTAGAATTTTAGTCCCTTAAGAACAGACTCTATCTTTTTACTCTTTGTTTCTCTAGTACATAAGAGAAGAGATTGTAAGAGATTGAAACAGTGTACAAAGAAAATAAGTTTGAGGCATAGTGCTTTTTAAAGTTGAACTGGCCAAATAAAGTCAAATCTGAAATGTGTAGATTAGCCACTTCCTGGTTTACACTAATGGCTAATTTTTTTGTTTGTTTTTTGTTTTTTGTTTTTTTTTGAGACAGAGTTTCACTCTTGTTACCCAGGCTGGAGTGCAATGGCACAATCTCAGCTCACTGCAACCTCTGCGTCCTGGGTTCAGGCAATTCTCCTGCCTCAGCCTTCTGAGTAGCTGGGATTACAGGCATGCGCCACCATGCCCAGCTGATTTTTTGTATTTTTAGTAGAGACGGGGTTTCACCATGTTGACCAGGATGGCCTCGATCTCTTGACCTCGTGATCCACCCGCCTTGGCCTCCCAAAGTGCTGGGATTACAGGCGTGAGCCACCACGCCTGGCCACTAATGGCTAATTTTTAATTTCATACTGTTTTCCTTTTTCCATTTATCAAAGAATCTTGCTCAAGCCATTAGTCTATATATTAGCAAAGAGCAAGCAGATGTGAGAATGCAGGCTGATTTTATTATTAGCCAAAGCAAAACATAATTTTTAAATTCCCATGCCAGAATAAAAAGAAAAAAAGTTACAAGTAATAAATATCAAAAACAATCTTACCCAGCATATTTCATATAACTCAATTCATTGTAGCTAGAACATCAAGCAGTAACAACATAGACTATCTTCTGAAAAATGAACTATAGGTCACAGTTGTAATTTTTTTTTTGCAGACAGAATCTTTCTTTGTCACCCAGGCTGGAGAGCACAGTGGCACGATCATGGCACACTGCACTGCAGCCTTGACCTCCCAGGCTCAAGTGATCCTCCCACCTCAACCTCCCAAGTAGCTGGGATCACAGGCTTGTGCCACCACACCTGGCTAACTTTTTTTATTTTTAGTAGAGACAAGGTCTCACTACATTGCCCAGGCTGGTCTTGAACTCCCGGGCTTAAGCAATCCTCCTGCCTTGGCCTCCCAAAGTGCTGAGATTACAAGTGTAAACCACTGTGCCCAGCCCATAGTTATATTCTTTAAATAATTTTTTCACCACATTGCCCTCTAAAATTAAATTACATTCAAATTTTCTTTTAGTTTCACATTCTCTTCCAGTTAATCATTTCCAATAATATGCAAAACTGCAAGCTAAATATAGTTTCAAAGAATGCTGTTTTTTCCCCGTAATTTAAAACTTTCTGTTAGTGATTGGAAGACTGACCAAAGGGTCAGGTAGTAAAGTACAGTTTAATCATAGAATCTCAGGGTTCCAAAGGGCCTTAACTTCTCCAGTCTTGTAACTAATGATTGAATTCTTCCGTAATATCCCAGCAAAAGATTGAGTTCTGGTATTAAACCTCAGATAGGAAAGTAGTCACTACATCTCAGGACAGTTCATTTCATTTTTGGACAACTCCTTAAGTATTAAAAACCTCATCTTGGTATCCTTCTGTAACTTCTACCCAGTCGTTCTAATCCTGACTTTTGAAACCACTCTAAACAATTTTCATCCTTCCATATGATAACCGTTCATCTGTTTGTAGACAGCTACCATGTCCCCCTAGGTCCTATCCAAGTTAACTTCCCTATGACAATTTTGTCATTCTTCATATAAACTGGTTCAAAATCTCTTCAGTATCCACAAAATACAGGGTCCTGAACTGTACAGGTATTATAGTACCGCTAGTCCAGTGCACAGTAGCATTGGGCTATCATTTTTGGGTTCTGGGCCTTACATTTCTATCAGGTTCCCCAAATTGCATTAGCTTTTTGGGCAACTACATAGCACCGATGGTTCATATTGATCTTGTAATCAAGTGAAAATCCTAAATTATTTTTTAAACAAATTTGCTGTTACACCAACTCTCTCAATTCTGGCACTTATACAGATCACTTCTATGTTAAGACTATACATTTATAACAAATAATTTCTGATGATTATATTCCCAAGGTTAATGGGATGAAATGAAATGAATTTATGTGTTATATACTGGCCATATATAATGACTTTGTTTCTGTTACTCTGGATCTACATCCTGTTAGTATTCAAAATGTCATGGGCTTCATATTTTATTGTGCATCTTGATTGAAGGGGAAAAATAGATGCATTACATTTACCTGGACATTTTCTCCATATTAATCTTTTCCTTAAGTCCATGAACCTTTCCCCTAAATTGTTTACTTTTAAAGCTAATTTTGAAACCCCGCCTGTGTGTCAGTATTCAAAATTTATTTTTCTCCATGCTTCTAGAATTAAAATACTTCCTGATGGTCAAAATATTGTCATTTCTTAGCACACCTTTTTTTGTATTCTTGAAATAATGGTGAAAGTTACAATGTAACTTTGAATGTTACATATTCTATTTTTTAAAACAGAATATGAATAAATAAGAGAGAAATTCTTTTTCTTAGGAAAAACTTTTCTGTTGTTTAAGGCACTTTTGAAATTTTGCCAATTAAGGTTGGGCGCAGTACTTCTGGCACTTTGGGAGGCTGAGGCGGGCAGATTGAGCCCAGGAGTTCAAGACCAGCCTAGGCAACATGGCAAAACCCCATCTCTCCAAAACAATGCAAAAATTAGCCAGGCATGGTGGCAAAAGCCTGTAGTTCCAGCTACGCAGAAGGATCGCTTGAGCCCAGGAGACAGAGGCTGCAGTGAGCTGATGAGATCACGCCACTGCACTCCAGTCTGAGTGACAGAGCAAGACCCTGTCTCAAAAAAAAAAAAAAAAGAGAGAAAAAGAAAGAAATTCTGCCAATTATTTAATTATTTATTAAAGCCCAAAGCCATTTTCCTGTCAGTTTGAAATTCCAATCCCTAGTCCTCCAAATAGAAAGAAATTCATTCCCTTATATGTTATGTATAGTAAAAATCATTTAAACATATTTATACTCCTCCTACCTGAAACTTAGCTATTTAGGAAACTTACCCAGAATACAAATAGAAACCTAGAAAATAACTATACAGTAATAGAAACAAATTTATTCTACCTTTAAAAATCCACTCATGCTCCTCATAATTGGGCATCTAAAGACACTCTAAGGCTGACTTGCTCCCACGTTTTAAAAAGTTGTGTAGATTCATGTTCCTTCAGATGTTGCACATGCTATTCCTTCTAGTTGGAGTGCCTTTTGTCATTTTATCTATCTAGTTAACTCCTACTGTTCTGGAAGGCTGTGCCAACAACTGTCTCCTCTTTAAAGCTGGCTTATCTTCACCATCCCAAGTTGGATAGCCCTATTCCTTCTCTTCCGTATTGCCATAACTATCTGGGCTACATACCTCTGTGTAGCATTGGATGCAGGGACTTACATCAAAGACTGTGATTTGTAAGAGTAAGGGAGACCATGGCTGAGGGTATCTAGGACCTAGCAGCACTTAGGAAATTGCTATTAAATCTAAGAATCTGGTTGCTAGTCAGGTTCTAGTTAATAGCAGATTATAAAAGCAACAAATTAGGAGAAGGCAGAACTAAAGCATCATGAGAGAAAAGAAATGAAAGCCTGGCAAAAATATGTATATATATATACAGAGCAGACACCAAAACTTGGAAGGTGCAAGCAGCCTTTTAATACAAAAGAAATCAACTGTTACATACCTCTGAAGTTCCTGAGGGTACTTTCTGTTCTATAGGATAGTTCTTTAATCGATATCTACAATGACAACTCTGAGTCATCAAGAAAAGGTTAAATTATGAACAGCATTCTGTGTAAAAGAAGTCAGGAAATTGTAGAAAGCCATACAAAATTGTTTAAGTAAGGCAGGCACTGTGACTCACACCTGTAATCCCAGCTACTTGAGAGGCCAAGGCAGAAGGATCTCTTGAGCCCAGGAGTTTGAGACTAGCCTGGGGAAAATAGTGAGACTCCAAAAAAAAAAATTTTTTTTTTGAGACAGAATTTCACTCTTGTTGCCCAGACTGAAGTGCAGTGGTGCGATCTTGGCTCACTCCAACCTCCGCCTCCTGGGTTCAAGTGATTCTCCTGCCTCAACCTCCCTAGTAGCTGGGATTACAGGCATGCACCACCACACCCAGCTAATTTTGTAGTTTTAGTAGAGATAGGGTTTCTCCATGTTGGGCAGGCTGGTCTGAAACTCCCAACCTCAGGTGATCTGCCCACCTCGGCCTCTCAAAGTGCTGGGATTACAGGTGTGAGCTACCGCACCCGGCCAAAAGAAATTATTAAAGCAAAAAGGATTGTGTGCATAAATATTAAAATCACAATGTATTTTAAAATGTAGCTATTCAGAACAATTCTCTCCCAGAGATTCTAGGTAGGAAGGTTTTATTGTATTATCAAAATATATAACATTTAAATATTTGTCCAAAATATCTCAAACTGACATTTAATTTAGTTTCCTAATTTGTTTCCTTTTCTTAAAATTTTGTGGTCAAAGTCATAAAAGTCAAGAGGTCACTGAAGTAGAATCAGCAAAAACAAGGAGTTTTAGGAAATTGGTATAGATTAAAGATTAACTCCAGTCCTTTTTATATTCTACTGATTTACATGAAATAAAAAAGCATTCCTCTACATTCTTTCTCCCATGGTTTTTCCCCTGTCATCTATGAGCAAATTATTGAACCAAAACACAGGCATCTTCCCCAAGATTGAACAATAATTCTCCAGAATTGGGTAGTCTTCATCTAGCTAAATGGAGAGAACTTTCTCAGGATGGCTGGGACTGGCCATGGTGCTCTGATTATTCCCAGGGTAAGGCCCCCCATTTTGAGTGGCTTGGCTTGGGAAGTCCTAGGAGTCAAGTTGAGTTTCAAAGCATCATCCAAACTGTCAGCAGGTACCTGACTGGTGCCCTGGTACCAGTACCCTAGATGCTACTGGCTTCTCCTACTTCTGCTAGCTCCTGTCCATCAGAACAAGGCCAATTCTCCAGTGGCCACTCCCTGTCCAGGCTATTAATGAAGCATAGGCGGCTTAGTTCCCATCCCTTCAGCTTCTTCATGTTACTTGAGGAAGCAAAAGGGGGCAGTACAGAAATAAAAGTATTTCTTTAGCTAGATCCTTCTAGCCAATAGTTTTCACTGATCTATCATACATTTTAAATGAAAATATTTTCACTACTGGAACCCTGAACTTAATCTTTTCTACTATGGGGGGAGGAAGGGAAACTACATTATCTGCAGCAAAGTTACATCCTAATACACAAGCGAAGAGCTCTTTTATCCTTCTCCATCCCAAGTGAATTTGATAATCATGAACAGAACTAGATATATTCTCTCTAGCCGAACCAAAAGATCTCTAAGGTCTTTTAAAACTACAGTCTGAGTTCTAAATAAAGTATTGCACAATCTTCAAAGTAAAAATTATGTTGAACTCAGTATGATGAAAGAGAGAAAGACACAGGGAGGAAGGGAGGTGGCTGGGCTTGCATACATCTAGAAGAGCTGCCAAGTCCAATGGGCAGTGCCCCCTCCCACAGTGATCTTCCTACAGTCTACAAGACTTTCATTCCACAATAGAAGACTTGCTTTGAGATACTGAGTTAAAGATAGGTATGAATGTGCAAACAGATGATATCAGATTCCTTACAGAAAGCTAGTTTTTGGTAGAGAAACGAAAGTATTCTTTAAAGAAGATGAAAGTCAAGGAGGATTGAATGGGAGGAGCTTCATAATTTTGCTTTTGTTTATGCCATATAATATTTGCTCTCATTCTCTTCATATGTTAATGTTAGGAAGAAGCTAAAAACTCCTGCTGTAACAAAATATTGCTATTGTTAATTCCTATAACTAACCTGTAAAATCAACTGAACAGGATTTCAGAGTAAAATTCACATTTCAAATAACAGTTCTCAGCATTAGGTTTCATTGGGGAATTTCCATTTGGCAGTCAAGTCATCTTTTTTCCACAGATTTTTTTTCTCATGCCTGCCTGCCCCCTCCTCTCCTTTCCTCTGCCTCTGCCCAGGCCAGGCCTCCCTACTCTTTCCTGGACAGCTACAGGCTCTGCCTGTTGACTCTTTCACCTGCCTCTGCTCTGTATTTTTAATGACTTTCAAACATGTGAGAATTAGAAACTTTAAACTTATTCATGAGGTAAGAACCACGTAAATACCTACTGTGTAGCATGCAGAATTCAATAGGGAGTGCCAATGTTACAAGACAAAATACCTAATCTGGGCTCAATATTTTCAAGAAGTGATTAGATAAGAAATTTTTTTCGCCTGTGTGAACTTGATTTTATGGGGAGGGGAGAAGTGGTGAGAGAGCATGTGTATTGGCAAACTGTTTATTCGGATTCTTATTGTTCTATTATCTTTAGTTTTCAAGTGGAAAACCCCATTTTATGTAAACATTTTTTTTCCTTAATGTTGTTTTAAATGTAGGACGTGTTGGAACACCTCATTTTATGGCACCAGAAGTGGTCAAAAGAGAGCCTTACGGAAAGCCTGTAGACGTCTGGGGGTGCGGTGTGATCCTTTTTATCCTGCTCAGTGGTTGTTTGCCTTTTTATGGAACCAAGGAAAGATTGTTTGAAGGAATTATTAAAGGAAAATATAAGGTAATGCATCATGGACATTTTCTTTTCCATTGAGATTAATTTATCCTGAAAAATGTTTTTTTGAAGTTACTGTCTATCTTTGCCCACTGATTGACTACCAGATAGTTACCCAATCAAAGAAAAGATCTTTGCTTACATCATTGCTCTGATGGCCTTGGTAGGCAACATAGGCCTCAAGTAAATTTCTGAGTCACTGTCAGCTGAGCTATCACCCTAGTGAAGAAAACATTTATGACCTTTCTTAGTGTAATTTGAGAAAGAGGCCTTACTTTTAAAGCTTTTTGCTTAATTTGTAAAATTAAAATGGAATTTCATCCAGGTGTAATTTTAGTCATTCTTTATCTTAATTTTAAATTTATGCCAGCGCAGCCTAAAACATTAGCCATTTACATTCAAGGATAAAAGGAAATGGCCATGACAACTGCAATTCATAATACAATATAGAGGCATTTCAATGTGGCTTAAACATTTCTACTCTTCTTTGGCTACTATGTGTTGGCAGCCTCATGTACTATCACAGACTTGTGCTTAGTAAATAATTACTTTAATTAGTAAAAAATTGAAAAGTCATTACTGGCATTATGAATAGTGATATCAAAAACACCTAAGGACTTCTTGGAAATCAGTAAGCTTAAGGTTGATTTCACTACCCCGGCTCTTAGACTCCTTTGTCCTGTCCCACAGGGTATAGCTGACAATGACTAGGAGGCTGCGCATGGGAAGCATGGGGGAGTGTGTGTCTGGATATCAGGTTAAGACTGTTTAAGTTGGGGAAATTCTTTTTCCTCTCATTATTACTGAAACTCATACTTTCTATTCAACCTAATCACTGTTTCATTTTCGGCCATGACTGACAACATAAAACCAAAAACATGTATATGTAACACTGCACTCTAAAACTGTGAGGCCTCTAAAGTTTTCTCTTCAGTTCCTCAGTAATGTCAGAATTTTATATGGGACTTGGAAAAATAAAATTAAAAAAAAGAAAAGTAGTCCCAGAGTTACACAGCCTTATCCTTTTAAGCCATAACTGAAGTTTATGCAGATGAGAATAGTATATACTTTTGTTGGTTTATTTACTTCACTCACCATCAGTTTATGAGTGCAAATAAGTTTGTCTCTTGTTTTAGTTAAAGATATATGACAGGGCCGGGCGCGATGGCTCAAGCCTGTAATCCCAACACTTTGGGAGGCCGAGGCGGGTGGATCACAAGGTCAAGAGATCGAGACCATCCTGGTCAACACGGTGAAACCCCGTCTCTACTAAAAATTTAAAAAAAATTAGCTGGGCATGGTGGCGCGTGCCTGTAATCCCAGCTACTCAGGAGGCTGAGGCAGGAGAATTGCCTGAACCCAGGAGGCGGAGGTTGCGGTGAGCCAAGATCGCGCCATTGCACTCCAGCCTGGGTAACAAGAGCGAAACTCCGTCCCAAAAAAAAAAAAAGATATATGACAAAGCTCTGTTAACAGAGAAATATGTTTTAAATATAGGTTTTTCTGCTCCTCCTAGTCAGCTGGCCACTGGGGAATAAAATGAATACTTACCAGGTAACTAAATGTCTCAGGAAACTGCTTGTAAGTAATCATCCCTCTTCAATCCAAGGAAGTTGTGAGTTGCTCTCAGGAATGCACAGCCAAATTCTGTTTGGATTTAGCCAGGTGAAATCACAGATGCTGACATTTTAAAAGAAGCATGATTATTGATACATCAGCATAATAATAATACTAGCAATAATGATAGCTAACTCAGGCATAGCACTTATACTCCATGACAGGAACTATTCTAAGCACATAAGTAAAGTGCTTAGAGCAGTTTAATTCATTTAATCCTCACAGCAACTTGTGAGGTAGGTAACATATAATAATAATCCCCCACCTGCCTTTTTGACTTATAGGCATTTGCTAATAATAGAATTCTTCCTTTGTATTTGTTCAGTTGTTAACTTCCTAGTTTCCAAGGCAATGTGCTTCATTCCAGCAGACTCTGTTATTTTATCTCGTCTATTTTTAAAACATTGGAGAGTTATTTTTGTTTCTTGGTAAAAAGACTTAGACTGTTCACACATGTGCAAAAGTTAAGTTATTTAACAATTCCCTATTCCTAGTATTACAGTAAGTCAGATGGATGGTGGCAGCTACAACATAATTTTTTTTGTACCTGGAGTTTGAAGCATTGAGGTTATTAATTTATTTACTCTTTTACTTGGCTAACCTCACCTCTCATTTATCTTCAGGACTTTCCTTACAAAAGGCCTGGGTTTTCAGCACCTTAGTTTGAAGTATAGATCCATCTCTACCATCTACAATGAATCTCGGCCTTTTTCTTTTAGTATACCGTGATATGATTCTGTCAGCATTTATTTTTCTTTTATTATCAAAATTTTCACACAAGTAAAAATAGTAGAGAGAATAGTATAATGAGCTCAATATAGCTCCAATAACATAGACAATCTTGTTTTATGTGTATTCTACATATTACTACATTATTTTAAAGCAGATCTCGGCTGGGCTCACTTCAGCCCAGGAGCTCAAGACCAGCCTGGGCAACATAGGGAGACCTCCTGGTCTCTACAAAAAGTACAAAAATTAGCCAAGCCTGGTGGCACACACGTGTAATCTCAGCTACTTGGGAGGCTGAGGTGGCAGGATTATCTGAATCTGGGAGGTCAAAGCTACAATGAGCCATGATCACACCACTGTACTTCAGCCTGGGCAGCAGAGTGAGACCCTGTCTCCCCCCACCCCCCAAAAAAGTAGATTTCAAAAAAATTATTTCATCACCCTGGTAGTTCTTTTTTGAGACAGAGTCTTGCTCTGTCACCCAGGCTGGAGTGCCGTGGCACAATCTTGGCTCACTGCAACCTCTCCCTCCTGACAAGTGATTCTCATGCCTCAGCATCCCGAGCAGCTGGGATTACAGGCCTATGAACCACGATGCCTGGCTAATTTTTGTATTTTTAGTAGAAATGGGGGTTTCACCATGTTGGCCAGGCTGGTCTCGAACTCCTGACCTCAAGTGATCCACCCACCTCAGCCTCCCAAAGTGCTGGGACTACAGGTGCAAGCCACCGCGCTTGGCCTCATTTCATCACTCTAATGGTTCTGAGCAAAAGAACTATTAACAAAATTCTTGATCTCGATGGATATTTTCAAGAAAAGTTTGATGACACCTTTTAAATGTAGTACTTTTTTTTTTCTTTTTTACTGCCAGCACTTGTAAAAGTGAGACCATTAAATATGGTACATTTAAATTGTCATAGTTTATAAACTGCTACTGGTCTTAAGTGATTTTAATTTGACTTTCAAATTATCATTTGGTAGGTTATTTGATCTTTTAAAGTAGCTATTAGAAAATACTATTTAACTAGAATGTATGCTAACACTTAACCTCAATTAAGTGCTTTATAAAGGGCAAAAATATATTTCCCAAACTATATATAAGAGATGTAATGTCATATCATTATTACAGGTAGCCAGTTAGTATATACACAGCAACATTCAAAGCTGCCATCGCTTTGGTAATCAAATAAGTAAGATTGTCTTATAGCCTTATTTTGTTCCACCTTAAAAATTCAACCTCCCAAATTTATTTTAGCTACTCTTCTTAGCTGAAAGAAGAGAAAATCCTGTATTGAACTCTCTTGTAAAAAGGACAAGGGAGTATCCTTCTAAACCTCTAATCATTTCAGAAATCATACCACTACTTTCAGATGATTTCTCAACCCCTTTGTCAAGGAAAAATTATTCAGACTTTAAAGAATACATTTGCTTCAGGATGGGGAGAGGAAACAAGTCTATCTAAGCCCCATCTAATCCCTCACCTCATTTCAAATTGGTCATTTGAGCACAATTCCACTAGGATGATGTTCTTTTTTTTTTTTTTTAAGACAGAGTCTCACTCTATCACCCAGGCTTGGAGTGCAGTGGTACCATTTTGGCTCACTGCAATCTCCACTTCCCAGGTTCAAGCAATTCTCATGCCTCAGCCTCCCGAGTAGCTGGGATGACAGGCATGCGCCACCACACCCAACTAATTGTTGTATTTTTAATAGAGACAGGGTTTCACCATGTTGGCCAGGCTGGTCTCGTACTCCTGAGCCCGGGTGATCCTCCCACCTCAGCCTCCCAAAGTGTGGGATTACAGGCATGAGCCACTGTGTCCAGCCAGGTGTTGATATTTAAACAGCCTCATGGCATTAATCTTAATGGGATTTGACAAACAGAAGTGACTACTATTTGAAATTCTGGCTGTTTGGCGGGGAGGAAATAAAGCATACTTCAATTTTAAGGGCTATACCCAACGTAAAGACACTTTTCACTACCCATCTTCAAGTACAAATCCTCACATTAGTCAGAGATAATGCTAGCCCTTGGTCAAATTTTAATGACTTATTTATACTGCAGTGCAAGTACTGCGGTTTCATTTGGCTTTAAAATGTTGTGGAGTTTACTCTTCATCTTTCTCCCTTAGAAGGTGATGTGAGTCTCTGCCTGTTAAAGCCATGGCTTTGCTTGAAGGTCCTGGCACTGGGTAGCTCACATAAGCTCACCGCATCAGTCAATTTACTGATGTTGTGCAGGGAATGAGATTCTACTCTGTCTCTACCTCCTTTCCCCACTTGCCTTCTCAACCCCACCCCCTAAGCACTCTGATTTTTTTTTTTTTTATGATTCTGGGTCTCAGACATACCCCTTTTCCCAGGAACCTTCTAGCACTTGCCTCACAGATCCACAGCCTTTCTCATAAGTTCTGTGTCTTTTGAACATTCATAATTATTTTTGTTTGATTTTAGTCAATATACCATGTGGCTTAGTTGTCTCATCTCTAAAAGAAACAAAAGTAACTTCACTGAGGACAATATATGAGCAATATTCTGCGGGACCTACGGTAGTAGAATACTTTTTCCTAAACACTAAAATTGATATGCAGTGACTAGAATATCCTATTAATAACTTTGCGTAGTTCACAATTATTGCTAACCTCAATTTTTAGAAACATATTTTTTAAATATTTCTTTAAAAATTTTAAGTTTTATTTTAGTCCTTTCTGGATCAATGTATTCTAGTCTCCCTAGCCAAGGATCTAAAGATAGAAACTGGAATAATGAACATTCTGGTCTTCAGTTATTGAATATATTATCACTTACATAACAAGAATATGTGTATGGAATATTTACTGACACAAATTCTTATGTAGTAAAGAACAACAATAAAAGAATTGCATTTGTCCTTTCTTCCTCAGAATGCACGCCTTTAGAATCAAATTTCCGTTCTTTGCTCTCAGAATTTTATTCACATTGAAGCAGCATAGGAATATTAAATAATAGTGAATGTTAATATCTCACTTAAGATAACTATGTAGTTTTCCTTTCCTCTTCCTCAGATGAATCCAAGGCAGTGGAGCCATATCTCTGAAAGTGCCAAAGACCTAGTACGTCGCATGCTGATGCTGGATCCAGCTGAAAGGATCACCGTTTATGAAGCACTGAATCACCCATGGCTTAAGGTACATGAGCATTCACAGGTCACCTTCTACACTTTGTCTGAACACTTCCAGTGACAGGAATGCATTGCTCTATGAGATGGTCCTTTTTACCTTTTCTTTTTTCTGAGTATTTTTCATTAATTGTTTTCATCTTGTTTGCTGTTCCTGCACATCATCTGTGAACATCTGAATAGAAGACATACCATTTGAGTGTCATGCAGCTATCAGAGGGTAAAACAGAGGATTAAGACAAAATACATCAGGGGAAGGCCTCTTTGTTCTCTGACAGCGTGTTTCAAAGATACGCAACACCAACAACTGAAATAATACCATGTTATAATAAATTAATTATCTTTATTTTGGGTGTGACTGTGTGCTTTATAGCATTAACTATTTTTCAATAGATACTAGATATGAATTTACTGTCTTAGGAAAATAGCAGTTTTTTGTTTTTTAAGACAAGGTCTGACACCATAGCCCAGGCTGGAATGCAGTGGCACCACCTCTACTCACTGCAACCTCTGCTCCTGGGCTCAAGCGAACCTCCCACTTTAACCTCCCCAGTAGCTGGGACCACAGGCATGCAGTACAACACCTGGCTAATTTTTGTATTTTTTGTAGTGATGGGGTTTCACCATGTTACCCAGGCTTGTCTCAAACTCCTGTACTCAAGCAATCTGCCTGCCTCAGCCTCCCAAAGTGCTGGGATTACAGGCATGAGTCACTGCACCCAGCCAAAAGGCAGATTTTAAAAGTTTGTTTTATAGCCCATCTTGCCAGTGAGTATTAAGGAAAATTATAACTTGGGACAGCAATGAAACAGTACCTTTATACACACACACACACACACACACACACACACACACACACACACACTTTAAGTTCTGGGATACATGTGCAGAATGTGCAGGTTTGTTGCATAGGTATATACATGCCATGGCTGTTTGCTGCACCCATCAACCCGTCAGAAACAGTACTTCTTGATTAAGACATTATATAGCCCAATAATTCCAGGAAATTTTCACTTTAGAGGTTAGAAAACTAATGCTTGGGGAAGTTTAAAATTTGCACCAAGTCACAGAAGTTGTCAGTGGTGGAACCAGGATTCTAATTCAGCCTGCCGCTACCCTTCCATTTATCCACTAGATCCTATCCCTTTTTATTTGACCACATTGACCCAATAACTTCCTCCCTTCGTGCATCATCAGAGTTCTCTCTCTGTTGGATCTAACATGCTATAGTTTATTAGTATTATACACACACATATATAGACATATACCTTCTCCTGACCCTACAACCCCCTCCAGCTTTTGCCCCTATTTTTTGCTTCCCTTGACAGCAGTTCCTGGAAAGAGTTGTATAGACTGCTCACATTCTCCAGTTTCCTATTTCTTTCTCATGAACCCAATCTAGTCAATATCACAATCTTATTTATTCCACTAAAACAGCTATTGTCAAGTCACTACTGACCTTCATGTTAGTAAGTCCAGTGTTCAAATCCCAGGCCTTGTCCTTGGCCTGTCAGCAACATTTGACACCCATCCTCCTGCAACACTGTCTTCTCTGGGCTTCCGGGACACCTGCTCTCTTGCTTATCGTACCTCTGGCTGCTCCTTCTCAGATCCTGCTGATTCTTCCTTACCTCCCCTCTCCCACCTCTTCACACTGGAATCCCATAGGCCTCCGTTCTTGCTCCTCCTCTTTTTCTCTATTGAAGCTGAAAAAACTCAAACTGCTCTCATACCACACAGCAACAATCAATACAGAAGACTTCTGTGACCAGATATGTGGAGACTTCTCCCCACAAACAAGCAAACAGTCAACTCTGTAGCAGACTACAGCTGGGTATCCTCCCAACTAAATTCAAACACTATCTACCTGGAGATAGCATTCCACAGATTGAGGGCTCAGTCATACAACCCTCCCCTCTTCAGACACCAGTCATGTCCAAGCCACTGAAACTTCTGCCAGCCAACTACAAATTGGGGACCCCATAGCTCCTTCCTCTTTGGAGTTGGTTAATTTGCTACAGCAGCTTACAGAATTCAGGGAAACATTTACTTATGTTTATCAGTTTGTTACATAGGATATTACAAAGCATATAGATAAAGAGATGCATAGGACAAGTTATAGGAGAGGAGGGGAGCAGAGTTTCCATACCCTCCCCAGGCACAGCACCTTCCAGGAACCTCCATGTGTACAGCTCTTCAAAAGCTCCCCAAATCCTGTCCTTTTGGGGTTTTATGGAGGCTTTATTACTGTAGGCATGGTTGATTAAACATAGGCCATTGGTAATCAACTTAACCTTTGGTACCTCTCCCGCCCCAGAGATTGAGGGATGGGTCTGAAAGTTCCAACCCTCTAATCCTGCCTGGATCTTTGTTTCCCCGTCCTGAAGCTGCCTAGGGGCTGCCAGCCATCAGACATCTTTAGAGTTTCTAAGGCTTTTAGGAGTTGCGTGCCAGGAAGTGAGCTAGAGGACCAAATATATATTTCACAGTATACTTCTGGTTTTCGAACCTGGATTCCTTACATTAAAAGAATATAAGCCAGCGTGGTGAAACCCCATCTCTACTAAAAATGCAAAAATTAGCTGGGCATGGTGGCAGGTGCCTGTAATCCCAGCTATTTGGGAGGCTGAGGCAGGAGAATTGCTTGAACCCAGGAGGCAGAGGTTGCAGTGAGCCAAAATTGCACCATTGCACTCCAGCCTGGGCAACAGGAGCAAAACTCTGTCTCAAAAAAAAAAAGAAAGAAAGAAAGAAATTTAAAAGAATATATAACTCAAAAGACACTGCCACATTACTAGAATGTCATTCAAGCATTAATAATTAGTTCGGTCCACCGTCATATTGTATGAATAGGTCTCCCAGCGCGAGGCCACTCAGCTTTGCAGGTTTTCCATTGATCTTGTCAGGTGCTAAAAGCAGGAATGGTCTTGGTTTCACCCTTTCAGACATCTGATAAAATTGAGCTAAGAGACAGTATCCTTTCTTGCTCTGAGTCTCTTTCAAGGTGTTAATGTAATGTAATAATGGATTTCCCTGAATTCATAACCCATTTATTTATTCCTTTACTCTCAGCTGTTAATTTTTTCCTCACTTTACTAATAACCATTGGAAGAGACATTAGAATCAACATGGTGCTGGTCTAGATGGGAGGCAGCAATACTAGTCTACTAATTGCCTCCTCCTCAGCCCACTCCCATGCAGAGAGGCTAAGATTACCTAGGTGCCAAGTGAGTGGGCCATTTTTACCACCAGGAAATATAGCTGCATTCACAATTAACCCCACCCCCATCAGGTCCTTAGGAATTCTGACACAAGGTTTAAAAACATAGTTAGAATTTCTTGTTTAGGAATCATCCCTGCTTCTACCACTGGTAGTTATGGCTCTGGTCCTATAAACACTGTATAGGGGGAGGGGTGGGGGGAGTTTAGGTAATATGGGAAAGAAGGAAAGAAAAAAGTATAGTAATTATATCAGAATACTCCCCTCTTGGCAAGAATTGCATACTCATACCAGCATCCTCCACCACCCCCTCTTCCCCAGATCAATCAGAAAAACAAAAGAATAGTGGGCACACTCCTTTAGCCCCACTCATGTTGACTGTAAGTACACACTGGTAAAGGCAAGTAAGCCAGCCCTTCATGCTTTCATCTCCCCCTGTTTTAGACAACCAATGTTTTCATTGCCCATTTTACTCTCTATCAAACTATTTCTGAGAAGAATGTCTCTGCCCACTGCTAGAACATTATGGGATGTACCGTGTGTTGTTTGGCCTGAAGAAATGGTGTTCAGCTCTCCAAATCTATGCAGTATTTTCTGTTCTGGTTTTTTTATGGCATTCTCATCATTCACATCTTCCACTGGGCGAGTGAAGCCCAGTCCAGAATCAGTGTCTATTCCTGTCAAGACCCATTTGTTGCCTCCCCTACCAACATCAGCCTCACTTGCCAGCCTGTTCAGGGCCTTCCCACCATGAAATCTGCCCCATAGCCATGGGCAGTGTCTGTCTTTTTTGCTGGCAGACAGAATAGTTCTTATTGGCATTTTGTGCTTGAGATGATGAAAAAGAAACCTGTCTAGATACAGCCCATCTCTGCACTGTTGCAGTACCCATTTATCCACTCATTTCATGGACCCAAGGTGGCCACCTCAAGGGAGCACACAGGGTTCTCTGCTTGTCAACGTCAATCATTTTCTGAACCCAGAAAGAGGCTCTTCTGATGGGTATCAACATATTCTACTTATTGCACCCCCAGATTTCCATAGGGCCATTCTCCATAGGGGCATCCCTTTAATAAACAGACCAGGTTTCCACACCTCTTCTGCCTGACCGTGTTACCAGGCCACTGGCGACTGTCCATGAGTCAGTAAAAAACCAAACACAGGAGTTTTTGTTATTGTTCATTTCTTCAGAATGCAATTCAACCGCCAAGCTAATTTGATCTTACCTTTTGATCAAGAGTGGCATCCTTCCAGACAGGATGCTGTCTGTTCACCTTGGAAGTGTCATTTACACACCAAACAGCACTTTGTTGGTCACTTGAGAGCTGTTCACAAGTCCCTGTCCAGGTGTCAGCAGAATCCCACAGTTCCTCACACAGTTCGAGAGTCAGTCCTAGGGGAAAAGAGGCTCCCCTGCTTGAGAATGTTTCCTCCTTGCACTTCCCAGGGAGGATGCTCCTGTTTTATAAACCATTTTCCTTTTACTATGGAACTATTCTGGGCACTGCCATCCCCATTTGAATGTTTCTCTGAAAGCATGAGTATTTCAAGGTATCAAGATCATTTTATGTCCTTCAGTCTTAGGGGTAGCTTCAGTTAATGTCCCATAGCAAGGTAGTAAATGCCCCCAAGTGGAAATTCTCTAGTGCAAAATCCTAGTAGTTGTCACTGGGAAATGCTTACAGACTCTGGCCATAAGCCCCAGTTAAACACCCCGCAAAGGGCAAGCAGATGGAGAATTTGCCCCTAACAGCACTCCAGCTTCACTCCACACTGTGTGAGCTCAAGCA